TCTCTTTCGCAGCTCGAACACGAACCCAGAGGGTCGCGAGGACGAGTGCTGTATATTGCGTGGTGGGGTCGAGTTTTAGTAATTGCCGGGATGGGGTTGGAAGGGAGCTGAGAGCTTGTTTGGAGGGAGGAGTTGAAGCACAGAGGCGGAGTCCCCTCATGGATTTTTTGTGTTCAGCGTGGAAATTGATGCTAAAGGAAAGTTAGAAATTTTTGGACTCGATAACCAGAACTTCATCGAGGTAAACCCGGCACCACGAGCTCCGTAACTCGAACCCAAAAACAAGCGCATGTTGAGTGGTCGGGCCAAGCCGAATTTCTCGCAGCTGCCGTAGTTCAGCGCTTTCAGGCAAGTTCCTCGACAAGTTAGGCAGCCTTTCACCAATTTGGAAAGGTGCCCAGTGCGTATTGGATCAGGTTCTGGGGTGTTTTGCTGCTATTGCTACTTGCTGGAACTGATTTGAAGGAGTAGAGATGGATGGGGGAGGGTGGCGGTGTTCTTGGACGCTGTATGTGGCGTAGAAGTTTATCTGAGGTAGCGACGAGACGAAAAAAAATTTGGCCATCAGAATTATTTGTTCGATATGCACTTTCAGCGCCATCGGTCAGCGAAATGGCCCTGCTGGATCTGGACAACGTTGCGCCGCACCTCGAACGAAACTCGATTCTCTCGATACCAGAGTACAGGATAAAAGATGGCCGCTATGCGGTAAGCCCATTTTCGCTGTTGCCAATCTGTCTGGACGGGTCGAGGCTTATCACCGTCACATGTCAAAAGCTGACTTTATCTCAGAGACGCCGGCTGGAGATATTATCTTATGTGGCACAAGGGACTTGCGGGCGTTGTATTCATGGGCTGGAAGGGACGGAGTTTGCTGGAAACGTTGAAGCTGATGTGTTGCAGGTGTACATCATACGAGTGACGATCGATTCGATTAGCTGGACAGTGGAAAGGCGATACCGCGACTTTGCTGCATTCGACGTGCAACGTTTCGAGGATCGTCGCAAGTCGTTTCTTCCACCGAAGAAATTCATTGGCAATCTGGTATAATGGCGTTTTTTTTTTCTCTCTGCTTTTTATATTTAACTTTATCTAATGCCGTACTAGCAAGTCTTTTTTGAGCTGGGTTTCTTGCGGATCGCGTTAGCCATCTTGGTTCATGAAAAGCTTGCACGGTGAGAGTAGCTTGATGCGTTCAGTTGCGTCTCTTCTTGACCAGTTACGTCTCTCCTTCCAAAATCACCTCTGCGCGTACACTCTGAGCCGATCTGAGTGAGTTCTTAAAATGACCTCCTTCCTCCGTCCCTCCTTTGTTGACCCTTCCCACCCCTCCACTTCGCTGCGCTCGAAAAGTCACTTCCTTCTGATCGTAGAATTCACTGTTTCGTTAGGCACGCCTCTTCTTTCTTAGCCTCTCTTCTAATACATCAAGTTTGTGCTTTTTATGCACTCTGTTATCATAGTGTGTGAAAGCTGCAGTTTTCGTCGTTTTTTTTTTTGGTACCTGCAAAGTCTCTAAGCATTTGAGTTTCACGACGAAACCCCGTGAAACGCATGCGTTCTAACCGCATTAGGATTGTCTCCAGAATGTCCATTTGAAACTGCACAAACTCTTTCTGACTTAGCGCCCTGATTTCCT